CCCCAAAACCCCAAAACCCCAAAACCCCATCATTTTGGAACAAAGACATTGCAGAGAAAACAAAAATAAAACTTGAGATAAAAAAATGAAAAAATAGCAATTTATTCGATAAATATTATTAGAAAAATAATTATAGAAATCTTAATGACTTTTATATTATTAATTAATGATAGAAGACATAGACGAAAGAAACAGCAAAGAACTACATGAAGAATAATAACTAAACAAAGGACTAGACTTGCAAACCCTCACTAATGTTAATGGTAATTTTAAAATATATGATACGAACTTTGACATTATTAATAGAACGTCAGTTAGAGGTATAAATACAAGAGAATAGTAAGAATTTATAGAACCAAGTTGAGACAGAATCTGCTATTAACGCAAATTATTAAAAAACTTAGAATAAACTGAAGTAGGAGCGTTAGTTGCCTCAGCCCAAAATAATAATCAATAAATCAAGAAATTTTGAAGCATATTCCAATCCATAGACTTAGAATATGGGTGGTTTGATAATTACAAAACATCTTAGATAAGAAGTTGGAGGCACAATAAGCGAAGAGAGAGGAGGTTCAGTTAAAAATACAGGTTTATAAAATAGCAAGATATTCAACTTCTAAAATATTCATTCAACTCAAACTCCAAACGCATTATAGCTGAAGTTACTTCAAAAGCTTCAGACTATACATAACTCTAACTCAAATAATACAAATACCCCTTAGCCAGATGTAGAAAAGAATAATGAAAAAAATAGCACACCAGGTTAAAATCATTAATAAGATAAATCTAACCCTGAAAGCGAGAGTAAACAAATAGTGAGCAGAAATAATTTCAACTAGTCAAACACTTAAGTTTCTCAATTCTCAATAAAGTCTGTGGGAAATTATTCAAATATGCTGATGAGGAAGAGAGGAAGCATTTAAAAAGAACGAAGAGCAAGTACAAATCCAAATCCACTTCCTAATTTTCATAATAGTAAAATTTCAGGGAAATCTTATGGTTGTGTTGCTGCATTTGCAGCTAATACAAATGTAGGAATTGTAAGGCAATAGAATGAGGATAGAATTGCAATTATTCTCAATATGCTATAGCCAACTAAGTTTAAGGAGTCTGTCCACTCCGTTAATTTCACTGAGTGGCCATAAATATAGATATTTGGAATTTATGATGGTCATGGAGGAGTATAATGCGCCGATTATTTAAAGGAGAACTTGCACAATAAAATTGTTCGAAATTCTAAGTTTCAGACTGACATCATCTAAGCAATTTAGGAGGGTGCAGAGGAATGTGATAGAGAATTTTTGAATAAGGTCAATGATGATTTTCAAAGAACGATTCAAATTAGTAATTTGCCTAGGGAGCAAGTGCAAGTAAATAGAGCTGGTTCGTGTGGTATAATGGTGATAAATATCAATAAGGATATTTATGTAGTAAATGTAGGAGATAGCTGAGCACTAATGTCAAAATAATAAAAACTTACTCCTATTACAATTGACCATAAACCAATGGAATAAAAAGAATTTAACAGAATAATAGCTAATGGAGGGAAAATATATCAATCTTCAACTGTATTTTAAAATGGCCAGCCAACGACACAGATAAAGCAAGATATCATTGAAACGTTGACTATTCAGAGCGAAAAGGAGAAAAATAATCCTTACGTTGGACCATACAGAGTTTTTCCAGGTAAACTTTCTGTGACGAGAACATTTGGAGATATTGAAGCTAAATTTGCAGAGTTTGGAGGAAAGGAGGGTATTGTTGTGAGTGAGCCAGATATTACAGAAATAAAAAATGGAGGAGATGAAGTGGATTTTATTTTGATCGGGAGTGACGGAGTATTTGATAAACTGACTAATGAAGAGATAAGTGATATTTGTTGGGCGCAAATAAGACAGTACGAATCTGACTAAAATATATCTGTTCACTAAATATGCGGGAAGATTGCTGATTAAATTTTAATATAATGTGGAATAAATCAGTCATTGGATAATGTATCAGTGGTATTCGTAGCATTTCAGCAGCTATAAGCATATTTAAATGAAAAACGAGGATTACAAGATAAAAAGGATCTTAGTCCTAAAAAAATCATTACAGCACTTGATTTTGACAAAAGTATCTTTAAAAAAAGAAAATCAAACTAACAGCCACCAAATCTATCTGCTCTTAAACTTAAAAATGGTATGAACTTAAACAACAAGCAAATTTATCAAAAGATTTAAATGAGAGTAAATAAATCTAGAAATATCATGACGAGTACATCATAAAGTCAGAGCTCTACATAGTCATTAAGTTAAAAGAGCAACGAAGAAACTGAGAGCTAAATAAACAAAGCATATGAGCATCTTAATAGATATAAGAAAAACAACTTGGCCGGCCACTCATAAACTCAAAATAATATCTCATAGTAAAATTCTCCAAACATTCAAAGCATGAAAACGGAGCCTTTTATTCTGCCATCTTTGAAATAAAATATTTCTTAACTATCCTTTAATAATAACAGGATTAGCGAGCAAAATAATCCATTGCGTAGAAGTCTAAATAGCAATCTTAATAAAATTGAATAACAATAAAATATAAAGCAAAAAAATCTTGAATACTATTAAAGTAAGACTAATATTCCTACTTCGACCTCAATTGAAGTGCAAAAGCTCAGAATTCCGAAAAATATACCAAAACCACATAGTGGTGATAAAATGGTATGAATGGTTAATAAAAATATAAACTAAGATTGTCAAATAGGTCTAAGTTTACGAATACTCCCTATATAAATAGTTATAAATTTATATGAATTTTGCATTTAATTCCATTATATCGAGTGACTTTAACATAATTTTTTATTTATGATAGGTTGTGGGGTTTTGGGGTTTTGGGGTTTTGGGG